GAGAGAGAGAGAGAGAGACCACGCAGGAGGGTAAAAATGGCGCACCCATCGGCCCGGAGGAGTAGCGGGACTCTCCCCGACCACCAGCCCCACCCGAAGCAGAGGGGCCACCATGAGGCATGCCACCCATGGACGGGGCATACTGCGGCCGACCGCCACCGAAGGGCCCACGACCGCCGTGCGGATGCCCGCCAAAGGGCCCAGACCCCTTGGGGCCACCGCCGCCGCCGCCGCCACCGCCGCCGCCACTCCCCCCGCTGAAGGGGGTGTGGTGATGCTGCGGCGGGAGCCGAGGAGCGGGCTTGGTGGATGTGGTGACGGCCAGCGGCGCCGGGGCCGGCGGCAGCAAGGGCTGCGGGGAGATCGACGAGCCGGCCGGTGCAGCGGCCGGGGTTTGCTTGATCGGGGCCGCGCCGGCCGGAGGGTCGAGAGTGCGCTGGCGTGACACCTCGCGCCGGGCCCGGGCAGCGAGTTCGCGCAAGGAACGGTACGCCTCGGCCAGGGATGCACGATGGGCGACGAAGGCCGCATTGCGCGCGGCCTGCCGCGCCTCGAGGGCCTTCACCTGATGCTCCACGTCCCGGTGCCGGGCCTGAGTCTCCTCGCGCGAGGCCTGCTTGCGGATTTGCTCGGCCAGGGCGTCGTACTCGCGACAGCGCTCGGCCCGCCGGCGCTCTTGATCGAGCGTGGTCTGGATCATTTGGATGTCGGCCTCGGTGCTGGCGATCTCCCTCTCTACAGGGCGGGGCATGGGAGAGACGGGAGGCCGAGGGGGGGGGGGGGGGGGGGGGGAAGGTCAGAAGCGGAGGATTCGCGGGTGGACGGGGTGCCTCGTCATCTGAGCGCCCCGTCTGCTGGGGCGCATGTATGCATATACATGTGGGCCGTCGTACCGAGCTCCTCGAATTCGGCCAGCTGCGAGCCACACTCCTCGGCCAAACCGAGGCAGGCGAGCTCTGCGCTGGTGAACGTCTCAGCCATGAGGTCCAGATCCAGGAGAAGGTCGTCCAAGAGACCGGAACTATGAGCGAGCAGGGCGAGCAGGGCGAGCAGGTCAGCATATGGAGGAAGGCCAAGCAATCTCTATTCATACACGCGCTGCATCTGCGTGCGTGCGTGCGTGTACATGTGGCTGTGCATGTGCGGGGGTTTGGTGAGCTTGTGCGCAAGTTCGCGACATACCGGGTGTCAGTGGCGACCGGGGCATTGGTCAAGGCCACAACCTTGGAGGGGAGTCGTTTCCGCAGGGCTGATTCCTCGGCATCCAGGCGGTTGGCGAAGACAGCATCTGGCGGCCAGGCACGCGGGGGGTTAGTCCGTGACCCACGGGCCAGGGAGAGGGATGGAACTGGGCAAGTGGAAAGCAAGCGAACAGTACCATTGGTGGCGAGCTGTGTCGAGCAGTTCTGAATGAAGCGCCCTTGCATGTAGCGGGACTTGCCCGCCTGCGGGAACATCGACATGCTCAAGTGGGATGGCCAGCCGGGGGCCGGGGCGGGGCGGACGCGAGCAGGAAGGATCGAGGCAGCGAGGGAGGGGCGCGCCCCAGGGGGGAGAGGGGAGGGGGTCTGGCAGAGGCGCGGAGGTGACGCGCGGAGAATGGAGCGGAGGAACGGCGAGAAGGAGGAAAGGGCGCAGAGAGGGGGGGGGGGGTTGGAGGTGGGATACAAACGGAGGCCAGGCGCCCAGCCCAACCGCGACGGTGGCCTTTGAGGGCCGCAGTTGCCAACTATACGATCACGCCCCCTGCTGTCATGTGTATCTAGAATGGAGTTCTGTTCTGCAGTGGATCATCGGCACCTCGACCGCTGAGGCGCCGCACCACGTCTGTGCATCCAAATGCGCGGCTCCCTCCCTCTCGGCGTTGTGCGCCTTTTTGCCCGGCGAACGCAAGCGCGCCCCACTCGTGTGCTTGCATGTGTGCTGCTTGCCGTCTTGTGCGTTCGTCCCCCCCGGGGGCATCGCACGAGCGCTCGCGCCGGGGCCCGGTACGTACGCGTGTGCGTGGGAGGGTGAGTGTCGGTACATGGATGCAAGCAGGCATGCATGCATCTGTGTGCCCGGCGGCCCCTGTCTCATGAGGGCGGTCCCGCAGAGCCGGCGGTTGAGCGCAATATTAGGG